AACACTCTTACCGTTCTAGATCTCAAAAGAGCCAAGAGGGTCTGTACCATCTGAAGCTACGGGCTTAAAGAAGCCACACTAGGAACTGAAGGTGACGTCGCCCGTGAATGTTTGCTCTTTTCTGAGCCCCTGCATCTTTCTACGCTCGCTGGAAGAATCCCTGGCCATGCATGTCATGCTCGGGATTTGTCCTTCCTCATGTTGGCTCTTCTGCTCCAGACGGCTGTCTGGCACGTGGATGGGTCCTGCTTTTTGAATTCTCCAACCCCCCTTCAGCTCACTAGCTTTGATTCACTCCTCAACAATTGAGTCCTGTTCATTACTGCCCCAGACCCAGAAATCACCTAATCCCAAGCCTCCTGGAAACTGACCCAAGACCTGAGTCCTAGCAACACTGCATTGCCCAGTGGACTCCTGTTTCCGTTAGGACTATGTCTGACCACAAACCATCCTGTTAGTGGCTTAAATGAAAAGGAGTGGACAGCCAAAGTTATGATGGCAGCTTAACTGAGCTCTAAGGGGCTCTGGACCTCTCCATGCTTCTCCTCTGACATTCTTAACTTTCCTTTTCATAGTTTTTGCCTCATGGTCACAAGATGGCTGCTGCCTTTCCAGACCTCAGTTCTGCTTTATAGGCAGAAATGGGGGTGGGGGTGGGTGGGAGGTAACAAAAGTTGTTCCAGTAGCAGGAAAGCCAAAACTTTCCCAGAAATCCTCATCTTACTATTCCTTGGCCCAAAGCAGATGACATGGTCACTTCTAGCTGCAAGATTGCCTGAGAAGCAGTTTTAGGTGACTTACAAACAAAATATGGGTAATATTAGCAAGGAAGAAGGATAAATTAATATAGCATAAAATAGGGGTCAGCAAACTACAACCAGTGAACCAAATCTGGCCACTACCTGTTTTTTTCTATTGATTTTAATTAGTATATCCTAGTTGTACATATTTTGGAGACACATGGTATTTTGATGCATGTATGCATGCAATGTGTAATGCTCAAATCAGGGTAATTGGGCTATCTATCCCTTCAAATATGTATATATTATTTGTTGGGAGCATTACAATTTTCTTCTAGCTATTTTGAAATAGACAATAAACAATTAACTATAATTTCTCTACTGCACTGTCGAATACGAGGACTGATTCCTTCCATCTAACTTCTTCTGTACACATTAACCAATTTCTCTTCATTTCCTCACCCCTCTGTTTTTATACATTAAGTTTTATTGAAATACAGCTTTACCCATTTGTTTACACCACTATGATAGCAGTTTTGAGTCGTTTTAATAGAGTCTATAGGGTACACAGAGTCTAAACTATTTACTCTCTGAACCTTTACAGAAAAAGGCTTCCAATTACATCAATTATTTCAGTGGACAATTTAGTGGTGTCTGCCACAAATATCAGCAGACATTTTTTTCTGAAATAATTTATTATTTTCAAAAGAGTATTCCAATAATCATGAGAAAAATGAGAATATTTTTGCTCTGCTTACCTACATTTTACAGCCTAGTATGAGTCTTTATTTTGAATTACATTTGAGATGAATGAGGAGTCTTATAAACTTTTTAGGGCCTAGTTTCAATAAAGTCCTTAAATTGGCCCTGATTTTCCTACCCATGGTCTGACCTCCATTCATTCCACAAAGAGGTACTGAACCTGTACTGTGGCAGGCATTGTACGAGGTTCTGGATAAGGACTGGGTGAATGGTTGGATGAATGGATGGGTGGATGGACAGACGGATGGATGGAAGGAAGGGTAGGTGGGTGGATGGATGAGAAACGGAGAGAAAAAAAACAAGAAAGAGACAGAGAGATCAAACGAACGATTTTACAACTTCTCAATTTTGCCTAGAAAATATGTGTGTGAGAAGGGAATAGAGACTCCAGTGGGTCTGTGGGTAAAGATCTAGCTGCCCTAACCCAGATTCCTTTAGCATGATGTAGGTACACGAAGAACATAAGTTGGTTTCCCTCTTCAAGGTAGGCAGCCCACGTTGGCAAGTGGCTCTGCTCCACACAATCAGGGATCCTGACTCTTTCTGTCATATTGTTCACATAGCCCCCAAGATGTTGTCCTTGTCTGCATGACCAAAATTAAGTTAAAGATACATTTGGTTTCCAGGTTATGGGAAGAGGAGAGAGCATGGAAGACCACCCTCCTTAAGTTTTAAGACCCAAACCTGGAAAGTAGCATATATCACCTGCTGCTGTGGACTAAAGGTATCCCCCGCAAATGTAATATGTTGAAATGAAACTCTAACCTCCAATGCGATGGATGGATATTTGGAAGTGGGTCTTCAGAAGGTAATTAGGTCATGAGGGTAGAGCCCCTGTGGTGAGATTAGTGCCCTTATAAAAAAGACAGTATGAGAGACTCCCTCCATCCAATTCTCTCTTTGCCACATGAGAATACAGCAAGAAGACAACCACCTACAAGTCGGAAAGCAAGCCCTCACCAGATACCAGATCTACCTGCACCTTGATTTTGGACTTCTCAGCCTCTAGACTGAGAAATAAATGTCTGTTGTTTAAGCCACCCCATCTATGGTATTTTTATAGCAACCTGAACGAAGACATCCCCCTTCACTCTCCACTAAGTCACATGGTTTGTCTACCTGCAAGAACGGCTAGGAAGTGTGGTCTTTGGCAGGGCATTCATGGGACTAGCTATGATCCAATTATTTCCGGTGCATTGGAGAATACATGTTGACAAACAATTAGGGGTGTCCATCCCATAGGGAAGGCTCCCGAGTCTTTGTTGAACTCAAAGGGAGAGATAGTCCACATCTTTGTTTCTCAGGCCTTATAGGTGCAGATCCACTGTCCCTCACACCTGGGAGGTTGGTTATGTTCACTGCAACTGTCAGAAATGATCTCTGCAGACGTGACCAGTGGCTCCCAGCCAAGGCCGGAAATTGAGACTATGCATAAAGAGACCCACTCACTGGCTTATTGCAGTCCTTCACCTGTCACATGGACAATCTTATATTCTACCTCACACCAAATTCTCATGCTGGACAATTACTCTTGGCAAGGTCTAAAGCTTTACCCTTTATGGATGGCTTAAACAATTGATATTCCTTAAGCAAAATCCAAAAGCAGACAAATAGTTTATGCAAAGTACACAACTCCTGAGGTCTTAGATCCCTAAGAAACATCTCCACCACCCCTCTCCCTCATAAAGAATAAAAAGGATTAGCATTTGATAAATGTGCTGTACAACCGAAATCCAAGGGAGTAACACCAACAGTGGAATTCAGGTACAACGTAAGAGGAGAGATGAGAGACAGGGGTGTACCTTGGCCTCCATAGAGAGCCCAAACTGTCCCCCACACACCCAGTGCTGACTGCCCTGGGTCTCTCCCAACAAAGGGCATCTGGTCTATATACAGTAAATATCTCTTCCTTCAGGGCTCAAGGTGGCAGCACTGTTATCAGACAAATTAATTCCTGTTAATGTGTCAAGGGAAAGGGTCTTTCAGGTCAACAGGGCCTCTCAGAGACATTTGCCCTGTTTATCATTAAATTATCTGTGTGGGAAACACCACGCCTAAGAGCTTTTGTCTGACAGGCCCAGTCAGGCACTCCTCTTAATAAACCGAAACCCACAGTCTTCAAAGCCCAGAAGGAGACTCTCTGGGTAGAATTCAGGAGACTCATTCAGTCACTGTAAGTCTTTCCTACCCCAAAGTGATATTTTGGTCCCAAAGGTGACAAGATGGCATCCTCCAGGTGGAGACTAGCCCATAACTAGGAAGCAGGAAGTCCTATCCCTGGAGGAGAAAGTGATTCTTCAAGTATCCCAGAGCAAGGGCCAGGGGGCTGATGCAAGAGGATAAGGCCTGGGCCAGAGTTCACTGGGGGGCATTTGAAACTGCAGGGGCTGCTGGACAGTGTGTATGTCCCTGCAGCCCTCCCATGTCCCTACAGCCCACCAAGGGCTGTGTCAAGCTCAGACGGGAGGCTTGTGCAATTAGCATATGAGACTTTAAATACCACATAGGTTTTACTTTTCTTTTTTTTTTTTTTGAGTTGGAGTATCACTCAGTCGCCCAGACTGGAGTGCAGTGGCATGCTCCCGGCCACCGCAGGCTCAACCTGCTGAACTCTGGCAATCCTTCCGCCTCAGCCTTCCAAGTAGCTGGAACTACAGGCACGCGCTACCATGCCCGGCTAATTTTTTGATGTATTATAGAGATGAGGTCTTGCCAAGTTGCCCAGGCAGGTCTCGAACCCCCGGGCTCAGGCAATCCACTCACCTCAGCCTCCCAAAGCACGAGATTACAGGCTGAGCCACCAAGCCCGGCTAGGTTTTACTTTTCATTAAATTTTCAAATGTACATAAAAGTAAGGAAATTCTTATATGAACCCCCATGTACCTATGCCTAACTTCAGTAATTATCAACATGCTGTTTATCTGGTTTCATCTAACAAACTTTTAAAAAAATTTTCTTGGTCAGTATGCTGATTTTAAAGCAAATCCCAGACATGGTATTATCTCACCTGTAAATTAAATGGCACTCATTAAATGGCGTTTGCAATATTGCAAACATGACGGTCCCTACGTTCAACCATACCAGCTACAGTTTGAGCAAGAAGGTTGGCACCTATACGTGTCTAGCGCAGCCCCTCAGTTTCACAGTGAAGAGAACTCAGGCCCCTTGGAAGAAGTGGACTGTCCTACGCAGGTAAGAGCAGGAACTAGAGACAGTCGGCCCTCCTGGCGGCCTGGTGAGTGACAGACCCTGTACTAGACTTCCCGGGACGGGTCCCTGGAAGCGCGCGGGGGAGGCAGACCCCTCCCAAGCGTCCGAGCCGCTCCCCGAACGCACTTCTGGGAGCGCAGGCCGGGAGCGCAGAGGGCCAGGGATGCAGCCAGGTG